TATATATATATATATATATATATATATATATACTGTTCCTGTTTTGCAGTTTATCAACTTCCAGTATGCTTAATCAATATTCAAATAAAAGTGCTATTTATTTATTTATTTTTGTATATCTGCTCTATATTTCCTATTCCTGGATGTGTTTGATACACAATCTATTGAAAATAGCTTAGCCTTCAACTTATCTACCTGATTTGATGGAAGTAATTTGAGGCTTGTGTGTTCCAGACTTTTCCCAAGTGTCTTTTAAAAGACCCGAAGCTGCTCTTTTACCTTTTATAGCTTTGGGCCAATGTCTTTCAGTATGTTTTTCCAATCTAAATAGAATAATTTTTGGCATCTGTAGCTATAAATTAAACATACAAACTTTGCATTTCTTTATTCTTTTTTTGCATTGCAGGCATGCCATGTAGGATCTCAAGATTTTCGAGAAAAGCAGTGTGCAGATTTTGACAGTGCACCTTTTCGTGGGAAGTATTATAACTGGAAGCCTTACACTGGTGGTGAGTTCAGTGAATTTCTACACAGCATCAAATCTGAATTTTGTCTGAAACAGCATTCACACTGTAAAATAAACACCGTAAATAATAACTATGAGCACCATTTAATTCTTCAAATATCAGCTTTGAAAAATGTTCATACAGATTCTTAACTTTATCCTAATAAATCCTCATCTATAAAATGTTAAATTCATAACAAGGTGAAGTCCAAATATGTAAAGAATTCCAAAATATTTTAAAGTTGCTGAACTGTAAAACCTGCCTGCCTTCCATCTTGTGACACAGTTGACAGTCTGCAGGCCGGTCTGGCTTGTGTTCCCTGTTAATACCAGCAGAAGACAGACAGAAGGTCAGTTTGGACGGTAGTGAGTTTCTGAGATTCCTTTAAAACCTTGCTGCTCTAACAGCTGCTGCTGCTGGTCCAAACTTGGAGATCTGGCATGTACAACTGAGTTCCATCACAAGTCAAGGCTCAACTAGAAGAAGCATTTGGACACTGATCAATTTTCTTTGTATGTAATATATGTCTGACCCTGGAAATCCAGAGGTGCTATGGAGAAGTCTTCAGTTTTTCTTTTCACAGAAATTTTTATAGATCAAAAAAATACAAGAAAAACAAGTGGTACGTCTATGGCCCCTGTTGCTGAGGGATTTGAATAGTAAATGTTTGTAAACAACAAAGTCCATGCTCAATAATCCAGGTATACAATCCAACATTTTTCAGTCAGGTCATCTGGACAGTTTCTTCTTTTGTGCTGAAACGTTTTGCCTTCGATTCGGAAGGCTTCATCAGTCAAGGAAACACACAACTATGATTCTTCCCCCAACAGCTTACTCCAAAGTGGAACAAACCAGTTTGGTAAGTGCTAGACGGTCTGTTTGGTACGCCCCCTCGTCCATTGCCGGCCCTCTTCCTTGTTGACAGTCATGTTAAACTGGTTAAAAACAACAAAGTCCATGCTCAATAATCCAGGTATACAATCCAACATTTTTCAGTCAGGTCATCTGGACAGTTTATTTTTTTGTGCTGAAAAGTTTTGCCTTCGAAGCTGTTGGGGGAAGAATCAGTTTTGTTGTGTATTTGATGAAGCCGATGAAGCCTTCCGGATCGAAGGCAAAACGTTTCAGCACAAAAACTGAAACTGTCCAGATGACCTGACTGAACAATGTTGGTTTGTAAACAATGTTTATGGTGCAAGGTATACAAGTGGGTAGGAGTTCAACTATGTAGATGAGGTATATATTTTTTCCTTGTCCAAGGCAGCACAGAATGATGGATCCTGGAAGGTGGAGGTAGCAATTTTATCCACAAACAGGTGCAATGGTGGAGCCAGGGGGTGGCTAATGGGGGCCTTAACCAACATAGAGTAATCTTCGGCCACCACAGTCATTTGAAGAGATTATACTTTTAAGCAATCTAAAAAGTAGAAAGCATAGTTTCCTTAAATGATAGGAGTGGTTGGTTTATATAGATTTCTTACCTTTAAACTGCTGTATTCATTTATACCCATCTGCTCATTACAGACCCATGTTCGGGCTGCTGTTTCTTCTTCTTCTTTCGGCTTTTCCCTCTTCAGGGGTCGTCACAGCAAGTTATTCTCCTCCATCTCACTCAGTCCTCTGCATCCGCAGTCCTCACTCCAACTACCTCTGTGTCCTCTCTAACTGCATCCATATATCTCCTCTTTGGCCTTCCTCTTTGTCTTTTTCCTGGCAGCTGCATTTATAACATCCTTCTACCAATATACCCACTGTCCCTCCTCTGGACATGTCCAAACAATCTCATTCTGGCCTCTCTAACTTAATCTCCCAGTTTTTCAACCTGTGCTGTACCTCTGATGATCTCATTCCTGCTCTTATCCATCCTTGTCACTTCTAAGGAGAACGTCAACAGCTTCATTTCTGCCACTTCCAATTCTTTCTCCTGTCTTCTTGTCTATGCCAGTGTCTCCAGGCCATACAACATTTCTGGCCTCACAAGTGTCTTGTAAACTTTTCCTTTGCTGACACCTTTTTGTCGCAAATCATTACTGAAACTTCTCCATCCTGTCAGGGCTCTCTTTTTCACCTCTTTACCACATTCACCATTTTCTTGGACAGTGGATCCCAAGTACTTGAAGTCCTGCACCTTTGTGACCTCTGCTCCTTGTAGCTTCACTGTTCCACCGGCCTCCCTCTCATTCACACACATGTATTATGTCTTACTACGGCTGACTTTCATTCCTCTTCTTTCAAGTTCATACCTCCACCTCTTGAAGTTCTCTTCCACCTGTTCCCTGTTCTTACAATGTCATCTGCAAACATCATAGTACATGGGGTTTCCTGCCCCTGATATGTTAGTCTGTTAGATCTGTTAGTCTGTCCATCACCAGAGCAAACAAGAAGGGGCTCAGATCCTTGATGCAATCCCACCTCCACCTTGAAGCTATCTGTCACACCTACAGCACATCTCACCACTGTCCTGCTGTCCTCATACATGTCCTGTACCAGTCTAACATACTTCTCTGTCATTCCAGATTTCCTCATGCAAAACTATACCTTCTCCCTCAGCACCCTGTCATGCTTTTTCTAAATCCACAAAGACAATTCAATTCAATTCAGTTTATTCATATAGTGCCAATTCACAACAAAGTTGTCTCAGGGCACTTTACAGAAACATTCACATACATAGAAAAGCCAATTAGTAAAGTTCTCTATTTAAGGAAGCCAGCAGACATTGAATCTTCACTTTGTTGCAGTCTCCCATCCTGAGCAAGCACAATGGCAACAGTGGAAAGGAAAAACCGTCCTTTTATAAGGACGAAACCTCCAGCAGAAGCAGGCTCAGGACAAGCGGCCATCTGCATTGGCCGGCTGGGTTTGACAGGACAGGAAGGAGAGACAAACAAACACAGAATTGCAGGTCCAAATGTGGTTGCAGGTGTACCTGAAAGACAAAAACACATGTGAAGGATAGAAAAAACAATTACAAATACAAAACAGGTGCAGCAGAGTAAGAAAAGCCCATTGCATAGTGAAGAAATATGGTCAGTTTGTCCTCCAGCAGTCTAAGCCTAAAGCAGCATAACTAAGGGAATAGCTCAGAAAACTCAAGCCAACCCTAACTAAAGGATGTATCAAAAAAGGGAAGTATTTATCAAAAAGTCTAGTCTTACAACTGGACAATGTGTCAGTCTCACGGACAAAAACTGGAAGTTGGTTCCACAAGAGTGGAGCTTGATAACTGAAAGATCTTCCTCTCCATTCTGCTTTTGGAAACTCTAAGAACCGCAAGTAAGCCTGCAGTCTGAGAGCGAAGTGCTCTATTGGGAAAATATGGAACAATAAGATCTGTAATATAAGATGGAGCTAGGTTGTTGAGAGCTTTGTAGGTTAGAAGTAAAATTTTGAATTAAATTCTGAATTTGACAGGGAGCCAATGGAGAGAAGCTAAAACTGGAGAGATATGATATCTCCTACTAACTCCAGTTAAGACTCTGGCAGCAGCATTTTGGATCAGCTGAAGACTTTTTAAAGAAGTATTTGGACACATAATAAGCAATTGCAATAGTCCAACCTAGACATGATAAATGCATGAACCAGTTTTTCCGCATCATTTTTGGACAAGATGTTTTTAATCTTAATGATATTAGGCAGGTGGAGGAAAGTTTTGGTAATATTTTTAATGCCATCCATCCATCCATCCATCCATTTACTTCCGCTTATCCGGGGTCGGGTCGCGGGGGTAGCAGCCTAAGTATGGAGGCCCAGACTTCCCTCTCCCCAGCCACTTGGGCCAGCAATTCCTGGGGAATCCCGAAGCGTTCCCAGGCCAGCCGAGAAACATAGTCCCTCCAGCGTGTCCTGGGTCTTCCTCTGGGCCTCCTTCCGGTGGGACGTGTCCAGAACACCTCACCAGGGAGGCGTCCAGCAGGCATCCTAAACAGATGCCCAAGCCACCTCAACTGGCTCCTCTCAACGTGGAGAAGCAGCGGCTCTACTCTGAGTCCCTCCCGGATGATCGAGCTTCTCACCCTATCTCTATGGGAGAGCCCAGACACCCTGCGGAGAAAACTCATTTCGGCCGCTTGTATCCGAGATCTCATTCTTTCGGTCACAACCCAAAGCTCGTGACCATAGATGAGGGTAGGAACGTAGATTGATCGGTAAACTGAGAGCTTCGCCTTTTGACTCAGCTCTCTCTTCACCACGACAGACCTGTACAGCGCCAAATATTTTTAATGTGAAGTTAAAATACATATCATGATCAAAAATAATGCTAAGGTTTTAACTTGAGAACTGGATGCCAAATTAATGTCATCCAGAGAAAATGAAAGACTGAAAAAAATATTCCTGAGATGCTCAGGTCCAAAAACCACAACCTCTGTTTTGTCTAAGTTCAAAAGCAGAAAATTAAGGGTCATCCAAGTTTGTTTTTTTTGTCTTGAAGACATGCTTGTAGTCTAAGTAGCTGATTGGATTCATTGGGTTTAATGGACAAATACAACTGTGTATCATCAGCATAACAATGAAAATGTATCCCATGCTGTTTAATAACGTTACCTAATGAAAGCATATACAAAGTAAAATGCAATGGTTCAAGCACTGCACACTGAGGGAGTCCATGACTAACTTTGTTGTATGAAGAAGATTCATTATTATAATCATTGTTCTCTGATGTATTACTCTGCAACACAGTGGAAAACATTGATGGAAGACATTGTTTAAATTTGGTTACAGCATTTTTATCAAGTGCTGCCGTCTGAAGTGTTGAACCCAACGTCCAGGAGGACGACAGGAGGCTCGAGGAAAAATAAAAAACATTTATTTTTTCAATAAACAAAACAAAAGCTGACAGGACACAAAGTGGATAGAACACAGGACAGAAAGCAGAACACACCATAAGGACAACCCTGAGACAAAGACAAGACGCAGAGGAACTGAATATATACACAGACTGATTGGAACAATACAGACACCTGCAGTGATTAAGATTAGACACAGGTGAGACAAGGGCTGAAGAC